CAGCTGTCGGGATACCGAGCGGGTGGGGGCCGCCCGACTGCTTTTTACGCTGCTTTTACCGTGTAAGACTGGTCCCTCGCCGGCTCCTTCCCGGGTCGGATTCCGGGCGGAAAGGAGGCCCCTGGGGGGGTCTGGTGTGGGAAGGGCTTGGACACATGCCTTAACTTTCCCGGTTTATAACTGTTTTGGGTTTGTTTTTTTTTTTAAACCCCTTTGGACATGCCCGCTTTCTGTAGGTGCTGGCACACCTCAAACTTTCAGTTAGCTACGGCTGCAAGAATGGTAACTTTAAAATCCGCAGTTAATCCTTGTTCCTTCGGCCTCTGCTGTCGCCATGGGCAGCCTGGGGCTCTGCGGTGGCGTCCACCTTCACACTGATCTCTCTGTGGGGTTTTACCCGCTCTGGTGCTCAGTTGTGGTGTGTTTACCCCGCCACCATTGCTGAGACTCTGCGTGTGTTGTGTTCGTTTCATTGCCCTCCTCGTTTCCCGCTCGCTCGTTCCTGCCTGCAACAGGCCCAGGTGCCTGGTGTGGGTTAGAACCTCACCCTGGCTAACGGCATCGCCCCTCGGAGCGTGCTGCCAGCAAGGCTGCAAGGCAGCAGTAAGCGTGGCTCAGCGCTGCAGATCTTCGTGGGCAGGACAGGGTTTTGCGCCAGAGGCACGTGTGGTAACGATGGATGGTGCTGCTCAGCAGATGGACTTGAGGCCTGGCACCTGGTGGCAGGATGGGGATGCGTGTGGTTATCGCAACACACTGGCATGCCTTTCCAGAAAGTTGTTGCTGGTGAAGGAGGTGGGATCTCTAGTCAGGCTTTGGATAAAGTAGGATTTAGAGGTTTCTGCTCCCAGGTACCTTTCCGCCTGCACTCAGGAATGAGTGCCTTGTTCCTGTTGAAAGATGCCCACGGTTGTGAAAGTGTGACAGGGCAGGGCAGGGTGGGCAGAGCTGCTTCCTCTGGCATGGCCTCAGCTTCCTAAGCCACAGGCTATGCCTTTGTCTCTGAATTTCATTACCACCGTTGTCTACAACTGTCTACAGTTTCACTGCCATGGACTTCTAGTCCATGAATTTTATTTTTTTGGGGAGGTAAATCCCATATGCTTCAACCTCCAAGTCATCTTCTGGCAATATATTCCAGTTTAATTATGCATAAAGTACTTTGCTTCTTCAGACCTTCTACCTGGGATTTAATTTTATGCCCTTTTCTGATCCTTATGTTGTGGAACATAGAGAATTTGCAGCTGCCAGTTTTCCATGTCCAAGCCACTCATAACTTTACAGAGCAAATCACACCAGTTCTCTCTCTTCCAGCTTGCATAGTTTTATTTAGTCTTTCTACATGTGAAAGGTATTCCAGGTCGTTGAACATTTGTGCTGCCCTTTTCCTTACTTTTTTTTAGGTTGGTTTTGTTATTCTGCAATAGAGAACCCAGAATTACATGCAGCAGTCAGGGTATGATCGCACGGTACAGATGTATACCATGGTACAATTATGCCCATCTCTTGTCTTTATCCATTTTTAGTTATTGCTAACATTCATTTTGCTTCTCTGACCTTCACAAACCCAGAGCCAAACTTTTTGTCAAACTGCTCACGGTGACTCCAGGTGTCTTTTCTGAGTGGCAGCCGATTTAGGATCTCTTGTGGCTGTGTAGTCCTCTTCCACATGCAGTATTTGGCATTTATCAGGAGTTCATTTGTCTTTATATTACCTGGTGTCTAAGAATTGTGAGATCTTTCACAGTCCACTTTTTGAATACTCTTGGCCATTTTTTCATTTTGATGTAAACCGTCTTGTATAAATTATATATGAATGTGTTCATGAGAACCAGCCACTCTTACTGGTGGACTCTTTTTCATTTCAGTCTTGAAATACTGCAAATTGTAAATAAGACTAAATACTTATATAAAGACTAGTAGGACTGAAAATTTATAATATTTGTTTTCTTTAAGAGGTTTGGTGAAGAATATGGCCAGATGCTTTTTGAGATTTGAGACTGCTATGTTGACCAGCTCACTAGTGTCTGCAAGCTTATTGACTTTCCAGTGAACCTGAGGAAATATGCGCAGTATTGGGTTTGCGTGGCAAGGTTTTGTTAGCAAGGGGCCACAGGGATGGCTTCTGTGAGAAGCTGCTAGAATCTTCCCCTATGTCCAACAAAGCCAATGCCAGCCAGCTCAGAGGTGGACCCAGCGCTGGCCAAAGCTGAGCCCATCAGTGACAGTGGTAGCGCCTCTGTGATAACATTTAAGAAGTGGGGGAAAAAAAAAACAACTAGGCAACAACCTGCAGCTGAAGAGGTGAGTGAGAATATGTGAGAGAAGCAGCCCTGTGGACACCAAGGTCAGTGCAGAAGGAGGGGAGGAGGTGCTCCAGGCGCTGGAGCAGAGGAGCAGAGATTCCCCTGCAACCCGTGGTGCAGCCCATGGTGAGGCAGCTGTGCCCCTGCAGCCATGGAGGTAACGAGGGAGCAGAGAACACCTGCAGCCCGGGGAGGACCCCACACCGGAGCAGGTGTGTGCCTTAAGGAAGCTGTGACCCCATGGGAAGCCCACACTGGAGCAGGCTCCTGGCAGACCTGTGGCCCAGTGGAGAGAGGAGCCCAGGCTGGAGCAGGTTTGCTGGCAGCACTTGTGACCCTGTGGGGGACCCACGCTGGAGCAGTCTGTGCCTAAAGGACTGCACCCCATGGAAGGGACCCATGCTGGAACAGTTTGTGAAGAACTGTGGCCTGTGGGAAGGACTCACATTGGAGAAGTTTGTGAAGGACTGTCTGCTGTGGGAGGGACCACGTGCTGGAACAGGGGAAGAGCATGAGGAGTCTTCCACCTGGGAAGGAAGAAGCGGCAGAGATAACTTGATGAACTGACCACAACCCCCATTCCCCTTTCCCCTGTGCCACTGCGGGGGAAGAGGTAGAGAAAATTAGGAGTGAAGTTGAGCCTGGAAAGAAGAGAGGGGTGGGGTGAAAGTGATTTTAGATTTGTTTTTATTTCTTATTACGCTACTCTGATTTGATTGGTAATAAATTAATTTCCCCAAGTCAAGTCTGTTTTGCCCATGACAGTAATTGGCAAAATGATCTCCCTGTGCTTATCTTGACCCATGAGTCTTTTGTTGTATTTTCTTACCCCCGGCCAGTTAAGAAGGGGAAGGATGGAGCATCTTGGTGGGCACCAGTTGCTTAAGAGAACATGGCATCTGTATGCAAAAATAGCATCTAGGGCTACCAAGTATTTCCATATTTGATCTTCTGGACAGAAATATGTGGTGCATAACTAGGAAGCGCAGAGCTTTCCAAAAATCACCAAGCACATAGCACAGGTATGTGGAGTGCTAACAGGAAGCCAGGAACTTACTGTTTGTTCACAAACGCAGAGTAAGCCAAAGCAGTGCTTTTTGGAAGAACTGGCTTGCTGCTTTGGTGAGCAGCTCTGGCATGAATGAAGCCTCATGCTTGGGTTTAGGTTTACAGTGTATGATGGACTTGTCTCCGTGTGCTCTATCAAAGTGTTTGATGTTACTACTGAAGTCATTGTTTGGTAGCCTCAGTTGGGATACTTTTACATGCATATATATTTCAGGCAGTCCTTCTACTAGGACAGTGTTTCCAGGCAAAATAATATGCATTTAGAAAATGTATGCAGGCAATACCCATTACCCAGATGAACCTGGCGGCAAAATTCAGAGAAGTGTGTTTATAAAAATGTTAAGAAGTTAGTGAAAGTGTGCTGTTAGTACTCTGGGAGCCACACATCTGAGAAGTATGTTATTTAGTGCCAAGTGCCAAAGAAATGAATGAGGTGTATCAAAAGGAATTTTATTTTCTTTATAGAGCTTTTATAGTGTTAGCCAAAAGTTCAACAGTCAAAACCACATGGAAGATCAAGAAACGGTAGAAATGTTTAGTAGGAGAGCGTGAAAGAGGCATTCACATTGGAGAGACTGTGGTCATTTATTATCATTATTGGACTAATTTCTTAGCATTGCAGACAAGTAATATTTGGTCGAGTGCCACAAGGAACAGCAAATACCACATCATAGGAGTACACACTGCTGTTTCCTAGAAGTTGTAATAGTCTTTATGTAACTTTTTTCAGAACTTCAAAATGCCTCATTTCCTGACAGCTGTTCCTATTTTCAGTAATTGTTGGAACATTTTTGCACATTCAAATATGCATTCATATATTCTGAACTATATTAAAATGCTTTATAACTCATTTGCCTTTTTGAAGTTGCTTTTTAGCAATATCTACATTGAAGCTTTTAGGCAATCAGCTGAATAATGTAGCCTGGTTATTTCTTTATCAGGTTTGAATTCATATTTAGGAAAGTGACTCCTTGCTTGAGCTGTAGGATTTTCTTTGCACTGTATGTCAAGTTAATGAAATTTAGGCTTTCACCTATACTTAATCACATACATACTAATGCATAGAAAAGTTAAGATTATGAGCGGATAGCAAACTATAATTTGTGGGGAGTGTCAGTATTACAGTTCCTTGCCATTGTACACCACACTGGAAGAGCATGATTTTCTTCCTTACTTCCGTATATAATCTTTTCTGTACAGCTTTAAAGACATAACCATCTGGGAAAAATCTTCTTGAACACTACCTTCAACTGTGTGATATAGCAGTCTCACTGAGCTCTTAAACATGAAGAATCAAAATGTACAATCACCAGTTCTCAGAGTTTTCTGCATAATCTGCTTTTGGTAGCTGTGAAAAGATTTTTCTTAAACAGCACCCTCAGGTATTGAAGGATGCTGTTGATATAGACCAGCCAGAAGCAGTTTTTTACCACCTTACACTTTCAAAAGCTTGCATTTTTGTTGTGCTCATGTTTGTATCACTTTTGTTTTCTTGACAAAAATGTTCAGGTGTTCTTTGATGTGAAGATTGGAGACAAAGATGTTGGCAGAATTGTAATTGGATTGTTTGGAAAAGTTGTCCCAAAGACTGTGGAGAACTTCATTGTGCTGGCAACTGGAGAAGTATGTTTGCGGTTTTCTTCTACTGTGTACTCAAGTTTCAATTGGGAAGTAAATATTTGTTTAATGCTGTTTCAGTTGTGAACTGCTTGATCTTAATTCAGTGGAGCCTGTGCAAGAGTGCCATCCCCAAGGTTGTGCACTGGTGTGTGTCTTCTCAGGTCCTTGGGGCTTGGTTCATGAGATGTAATTACGAGATGTTGGTGTTACCACCTCAGTCTGTCCCTGCCATGCAGATCTAGCATGTAGAGGTACTGTGGTCAGATACCAGTCAAATAAAGACATGTCTTTGAGCCCTGGAATAATACCTGCTCTGTGGCAGTGCAGCCCAGCTGCGTTCACCTGCATCTTAGTTTGTTTCTTGCCAGTATTTGTCTGCAGTGGTGGTGTTTTCTGTGAAATCTGTCCATACACCACATGTGTATTTCCATATGACTGTGTAGAGCTGGATGTGATGTTCATTTAAAGAATTATTTCATTTTCTTAGAGAGGATATGGATACAAAGGAAGTAAATTTCATCGTGTGATCAAAGACTTCATGATTCAAGGAGGAGACTTTACAGCTGGAGATGGATCAGGAGGTAACATGCTTAGTATCTTCCAGGTTCCCTTTTCTTTCTTCAAATATCTGCTGAAAAGATGGGGAAAACAACATATTCCCTTATTCTTTCAGTTCACATAAATGTAAAAAAACCCAACACTTGTTTTAGAGCATCTAAGCACTTTTCCAAGCAGCACCTTCCCTATGAGGACAGGCTGAAAGAATTGGGGTTGTTCAGCCTGGAGAAAAGAAGGCTCCGAGGAGACTTAATAGCGGCCTTCCAGCAGCTGAAGTGGGCCTACAGGAGAGATGGGGAGGCACTCTTTATCAGGGAGTGTAGTGAGAGGACAAGGGATAATGGGTATAAGCTGAAAGAGGGTAGATTTAGACTAGACATTAGGAAGAAGTTTTTCACTGTGAGGGTGGTGAGGCACTGGAACAGGTTGCCCAGGGAAGGTGTGGATGCCCCATCCCTGGAGGTGTTCAAGGCCAGGCTGGATGAGGCTTTGAGCAACCTGGTCTAGTGGAAGGTGTCCCTGCCCATGGCAGGGGGGTTGGAACTCGATGATCTCTAAGGTCGCTTCTAACCCAAACCAGTCTATGATTCTATGATCTTGGAACATAAGCTGCAATTATTTGCATTGCCTGATTATGTGTAGAGCTTCCTTTGTCCTCAGTTTTTGCAGATAGCTCTTTTCTGTCTGTGACCTATCCCCATCTGAGAAGCATGGCTTTGTGCGGTGGCCTGGAGCCACGTGACCACCTGAGCTGCTCCTACAAAGTACTCTCTCCAAAAGATGGATGTCTCCACCCTTCCCCTGCTCTCGCGTTGCAACAGCACTCCTTTCCTGAGGCACTCGTTGATTGCATGTATATGTCAAACAGTTCAAGTCGTCCAGCAGAAAACTGATCTGTGACGGAACAGTGAAAGCACATACAGGGAAGGCAGGTAGGGAAGGAGCAGGCTGTCCCCACTGCCCTCAGCTCAGCCAGTTCTGTGGAACCTTCTGAAATGTGCTATGGGAGGGAATTTCAAAACAGGGGTAGAGAAATTCCGAAATTAGGGTCATGCCCTTCCCTCTTTTTTGCTCTTACTAAATTTAAAACTATAAAGTTACTGGTGTGAGTTCTGGTTGTGTGTATCGCTTCTCCGTCCTGAGCCTCCAGAAGACCAGTTCAGCCGATTAAGGAGGGCAATCCCAGTGCAGCATCTCTTGCATTGCATGCATTTTGGCTTCTGATTTCTTCTTCCTCTATGTGCACATTCTTCACTTTCTACAATTTGCACTGTCTGCACAAAATGTTAGTGATTTCCCCATTGGGACAGAATGGAAAACACACATTCCTTCTCCTTGCAGTGAACAGTGGGGAAGGCTAAAATACCAAAGACACAGTTTTAGCATTAAAGGTAGGCAGTGTTTGTTTGCCTGCTAATACTGTCTGTTGGGATAGAATCTGGTGGTGTGTTGGAAGCAGTGTCCCCATTGTGCTAAGCACTGTACAAATAAAGAATGAGACAGCCAGCCTTCTCGATGTTCAAAGTGATGGTGTTTTAAACGTGATTCAAAGGTTTTCTCTTTTGAACTATTTTAGAAACATCAAAATCCTTATGTAATGTTTGTATAGAGCCACACTGAGTCTTTTAGGCTAGCTGCCACTAGGTCTTTATATATTTCTAAACATGTCTAAAGCAATTTCTTATTAGGAGGAAAGAGCTGTAGAAGTAAGGACTAAAATTGTCACAAAACATGGCAACCTTATTTTTTGTGGCCATAATTACATAATTTAAATTTGTTGAACAGGGTGAAGCATACTTTTGTTCAGTGGTGTACGTAACCAGGACCTTTGAAGGTATTCAGCTTGCTTGTTAAAGGGTAAAGCATCATCAGCTTTAAATATTCGATCCTTATATGTGGTGGTTTAGCTTATCTTTACACACAAAGTGCTTTTAGTTATGGAATCAAGTGATGATGGAGCAGTGATGTTGATATGCTTGCTCAAACAATGAATCTTAAAGTCCTGAATGTATACTTTGTTTTCCCTGTTTTTGAACAAAAGGAGCAGGGGGGAAGGAGTTTGCTTGATTTTTTTTTTTTTTAAAGTTTGCTTTCTTATTTTGTGTCATAGGAAGAAGCATCTATGGAGAAAGGTTTCCAGATGAGAACTTCAAGCTCAAACACTATGGAATTGGATGGGTTAGCATGGCTAATTCTGGCCCAGACACCAATGGATCCCAGTTCTTCATCAGTGTGACAAAGCCTTCCTGGTTAGATGGAAAACATGTAGTATTTGGCAAAGTCCTTGATGGAATGGTAAGCTAAAAGTAGTGGCAAGATTAATTCAAGAAAATCTGGACAAATTCTGCCGTGTTACATCTGTATTAGTGTAACTAACACCATTGTGGTTCAAAACAATTGTTTATCTAATATGTACATGGTAGAAAATGATAGTGAAGACCCTGGAGCTGGATGGTTTGGAGCTGAAACAGCAAATGGGGACTGCAGAAATGGAAACTTAAATTGTGCCCTTGGCTTTCACAGCTCTTGTTTCAGACCACTACCCACTGAATCAACACTGACACCTTTGCAGATTACAAATGGAATAAGTTCAGGTCCCCCTTTCACTAATATTGTTAGCCATCAAATAATTGTATTTCTACAAGCTAAAATCAGATTCTGTAGCATGTGCTAGTTATGGGTAAAACTTTCACTGTGACGCTTTTTAGAAGTATGTGAATGTAAAATATACAAACATAGATCTGTTTAAAAAGAAAAAAAATCTAGTTAATTCCCTTAAACTATACACAGCTGCAAAACTGATCAAATATATCTCATTGCAAGGGCCAACTAGAATTTAAGTTTAAAAATGGTAGTTCCAGCTGATCATATTTTTAGTAGTCTGGTTCTCCTTTTAAACTATTCAATTTAATTTGTGTTTTGAAATGAATGGGGGAAACACGAAACCTCATCAGAACACTTGCCTCCTGTTCCCACTTTCTTACTGAATTCTCATGAGCTACAGTAGTAGCTAAGAATTCTTGAGGACTTAGACCAAGTTTTAGTTCAGTTAGATTAATAAACAAATATCCAAAGCCAGGTAGTCAATATTCCTAACTGAACTTTGTCCTTTAAAAATGCTACCTTAATTAGTTGTCTAGTGTGAGGCTGGTAGTCTGTCTGTACCTAACTGGAGGGCATGGTACCACACTTAAAATGTGCGTGGGTCTTATACTAGAGGTAAAAGCAGTCATCAGATTTGTTGAAGCACAGTTGCACTGTATGATTAGAAAAATAATCACTGCTTATATTTTGTGAGCTCTGGATTATTCACTTGCTGCTCATAGACTGCAGATAAGACCCTGTACATTCTAGGTTGATCAGCTGAAGATATTTCACTTGCCCCTTTATAATATTTTAGTTGGCTGAAAGTTTTTATAGAAGGGCAAACAGCATTCCACGTGCTTCTGTCAACTATGGGTGGGTTGCAGAGTGGCACAACTGTTATTGTGGACAAAAAAAGTCTGCAGGAACTTAAGAGGGTAAAGGTCTTTGCTCAGAAGTTGCTTAATAAATAGTAATGCTAGGAGCACTTTATTTTTTACCACTTGGGCCATTGGAGTTTCCTTGGCTAAACTGCACTGTTTGTTTGTTTGTTTGTTTGAACAGTCTGTGGTGCACTCAATAGAACTGCAGCAGACAGATGAACATGACCGGCCCCTTCAAGACTGTGTGATTGTGAACAGTGGCAAAATAGCTGTAAAAGAACCATTTGTAGTTGAAGTAGGCGACTGGTGAGACCAACAGTCAGAATGGAAACTAAAACTTCATCATGTTTCTTCAATGCATGTTTTTGACTGATCCCAACTGTCCACTGAATTTTCTCCTCAAAACATATGAGACTATGTTTAGACAATACTTATAATTTGGCAAATACATAAAAGATAGGACCATTTCTATAACAACTTGATGGAGCTGTCACTCCTTGAAATTCAAGACATATCCCACTAAATCCTAGATTTTGCAGAAAAAGTCTTTCATTAAAGATTTCAGAAGTACTTCTATTTTTTCAAGGATTTAAATACAGTATTGTTCTTTGGAAATTTTTGCAATATATGTTTCTGCCTTTTCAACTGAAAATACTATTTTCTGTAACAGGATCAGCATTTTTTAAAAATGGGAAAAAAAGTAAAACACAAGCATTTTGAATAAATAAACTTTGATTTCAAATAAATATGTGATGAAGAGGTTTTTTTTTAATTTCCCCCTCCAAAGGCCTTTTTTTCTCACCTCAGTTGATTCTGCTAAATAGGCAAGGGGTCCTGCTTTCCAGGAAATAAGGTTGTAAGGTTAGAGCAGGGATGGTAAATTTCTCTAATCTTAATGTGTCAGGTGAAGTCTCTGTTGTCTTTCAAAAAAGGATAGTATTCAGATACAATCCTGTAATAAAGAAGGAGTGGCTCTGTCTATTGTTAAATAAGATAAGCAGTTTGATTAAAACAGAAGAGTCCTTGTTTTACAGCACAGTGAATTTTGTAACACCTAGGTAATGTTATTTATGATAAAGCTCAGAGGCTTTTTCTTGCAGTGTTGCTGTATGTCAGAGATGCAACTTTACGTTCATTATTTTTGTAATGCTGCTTAAGTAATGCTTAAGCTGACAATTTAAATGATAGCTTTTAAACAAGGTCAGCATAAAGTACCGTGTAGAGAAAGCTGTGTGCGTTAGGTTCCTTAATGAGTTACATAGTACTGCACAGGAAAGAGATGTGGATTTTTTGTGTTCAGTTTACAGTGTTTTAGAATTGAAGACAGAAGAGCTGATGCCAAGATCTGATGCTCATCCATCTGCACTGTAGTCAGCACACCACTTCTTACCTTTGTAGTGACTAGTTTCCTGAAGGGGGTCCTGGAGCCCATGTGAGGTATCCAAACTTCAGGGGAAGAGCAAGTACCACAGCATGGAGCTTGTAGGTACCTAGTGGCACCCCCCCTTGCAAGGAAATAGGAAAATGCTGTGGCCAGGGGTTTACCTCAGGTTCTCCTGACAGGTCATTTGTAGTTATAGAGGTGCTTGTGCACCATCCGCAGTTCTGGGGCCTCTACTGAGGGTAAATACTGATGCTTTTTTTCAGAGATCTGTGAAAGGATTACTGTCCTCTTTAAAACAGAGCTAAAGGAGAATTTGTGGAGGGCCTCTAAATTTGCCTAGTCCTATTGCAATGAGACTTCCATTTTGCCACTGCTCATTTTTCTTTATACTAACTGTTTAAAGTAAAATTCTCTGAAAAGCAGTACTGGAATGCAGTGTTAGGAAGTAAGAGTGAGAATGCCTCAGACCAAATAGGTGTGTCCAAATAGGTTTCCACTAGTAGCTGAAAGCTTTCCTGGAGGTCAGTCCTGCAGATAGTATAGAGTCCTGCTACCAGAACAAGCGCTGCAGTCACAGGGCTACCTTTTGTATGAGTCCCAGCTTCTCACCATCCCCAAGCAGCTTTAAAACAGATCTAGTAGTCAGCAGGAGGGAATCCACGAGTTTCCAGGATGAGGCTTCTGTTTGTGTCTTGCTTTGCCATTACTGCTTTTGTGCAACATGCCCATCCTCTAATGAGCCCTATGACTTACTGGCTGTTCAATTACACTGGATTCTTTCCCCAAGACATACCTTTTTATAAGCCTAGTTTGTTCAGATAGCATGGTGCTGAGAATTTTAAATGAGCAGACACCCAGGTATTTTCTCTTGCTTCGTGTGGAGATACCTGTAAGACCTATCTCTAATGACACAAGCTCTGAGAAATGTCTTACTTGAATAGAAACGCACAGAAAATACACTGAAGTGGTACATTTGTGTTCTAGTCATTTATTTTGCAATGTCCAGTGGCACACATACAAATTTCCAGTTAAATCTGAACAAATATATATATATAAGTATATATATATATATGTATCAGTTTTTATCATTTTACTACTTGATCATATTCTTGCTTTAGCTTACCACAGAGCTGTATGCTCTGTGACTTATAAAATGTTAAGATATGGAATACAGCCTGCAAGTTGACATGAAGAGTAAACATACACACAGATTAAATATAACTGAATGGAGATGCATAAATGCCATGTAAAGTCTCCTGGTAGATAAAATAATTTCAACTGAAATCTAGAAAATTTCCTGAGAGTGTGCTAAGTATTTCAGAATGTGGAAGCATGTTTTCAAATAGACACTCTCCATACACCTGCATTGGTTCTTTTCCAACCTGATATTAAGGAGCAGATTCAAAATAATTTAAGAAAAATGAACAAAATAAGATGCTTTCAATTTCCACTTGCTTCATTTTTTTTTTTCCTTGCAATTTCTCACACTCTCTTCAGTGCCAGCACTTTTAATCCATCCACTGCCAGCAATGGGTACTGTGCTGGGAAAAATCCTGGTGCAAAAAGGTTTAGTGTAATTTATGATAAAAATTACAGAAATAATTAGTAAAGCTTTAAATTCTTTTCAAAGGTTAGTGTAATTCAGTGTATGACTTTCAGCTTTTAGTGTTAAATAGTTAGAGCATGTCAATATATGGAAGGCATAAATAACTTCAGTACTGTTGTTTCCATATCTTCTTTAAAGCAGCAATTGTAGTGACATTGATTTTATTTAAAAAGATAAAATGCTTAAACCTAAACTGAGGTTGTGCCTCTTGCTTCTGGATGTAATTTTCACATCACAGAATTTTATTCCTGTTAGTTCCACTAAACATGACTCAGGGACTTGCTTCAGCTTCTTCTAGCCACCCATCACTTCTACCTGGGCAGTAAATGAGGATAAAATATTCCATGTAGAATGCCTTCTGTAACTACATTTGGAAAGTCATCTGAAAAAAAAGAAAAAAATGAAAAAAACTTGCTTTCTTATCTATGTCAGTACAATATAAACTTTTTTTTTTTTGTGAAACTTACTAGGTAAGGCTTCATATAATTTGGGTTACTGCATCATTCAACTGTTATTTGTGTTGGGGATGTGTTATTAGTAATGCTGTTTCAGCACTAAAGCCACTTTAGTGTAGCGCTGGGCATTGCATGAATGCGCTGCCAGATTTGTAGCTTATTGATTTAAAGGGATGTTCTAATACTTAATGCTGCTAGGCTCCAGCTCTTTATCTGAATCTTTTCTCACAAGGAAGATGGATTACACTGGCAATTCAATTTCTAACAAAATCTCAATATACTTGAAGGAATTCCAAGATTGCTACTGGGAATACTTGAAAGCTGTTTTTCCATTGTGGTTTACAGCAAGCAATGTTGAGACTGAGAAGACTTGAGGATGTCTACGCAATCAGAGATGATTATTTGAGGCAGGAAAATTTCAGGCTGTCTAATCAACATAAAATGTCACATGTTAGAAAAAGTCATACTATCATATCTGAAGGAAAAAACCCCCACTATGTTCTTACCACAGATGTAGAAGAAACTGGCACTTAATTTTGATGTTAAATTTAGCATGAAAGAATTACCTGATAAAACGCAGTAATAGATCCACCCAGAGGAACGGCAGGATGTATGTTACCGAAGTGAAAACATTTTTCAAATGCACCAACTCCTGCATTTTTAATGAAGTGTTTACTTAAATCACTGGACATTAAGAGTAAGAATTTCTGATCCCATCGTATGATCTTAAAATTGCTACCACACTACTAAATGTGTTTTCCTGGAAGAACAGACTGAGACAGAACTTTCCACGCTAATCAGATCCTTCCTTCACCTATCACCTATCAGCCTAAGATACAGCTTTTATAAGAATTATTAGATACTTGATAAATTAGGACACCTAACGTAGGTGGGAATTAGGTTTTGCCCCTAATTCTTTTGATAAAATAATTTTGGAGGTAAAAATATTGAGCAAAAAGTACATTTGGACTTGGTAAAAAAAAAATTCCTTATTAGCTTGAAGGTGTTATCTCATACGTATTAATAAGGTGATTCCAGTGTATTAAAGATGTTACAAGAGATACTTTAGGATGTTTGAAAAAGTTGCAGCCCCCACCACAAACAATACATGCATAATTCTCCCCAACTTCTCATAGTAAGTCATAATTATAAATTACTTGTTAATATCTTGAATCCAATAATGATTCCTCATGTCCTGCAATGCTATCCCAAATCACCCTAGTAGAATAATCCCATGCTGTTGTCATTAATGTTATTAAAAACACACTTGTATGGGCAATCTGATGCTTTACTTCTAAATTAAATGCTGCAGTTCCAGAAACCAGTTTTTCCTGGTTCTTCTATAACATACAGTACATATAGGAAAATGAGTAATAACTTAAAAAATGATACTTTACAGCATCAGATTTACTCTGAGGCTTTGTTGCTTAAAAAAATCAAGCATAGTAATTTAACTTTAATCTATACAGTCTTGCAGATCTGTGATACTTACATGGCTTAAAGAATCATCAGAACAATTTTCAAACAAGTGACAGTAAATCTAAGATTCCATTTCTTAGCTTCTGAGGTATAATCTTCAATTTGCAGCATTTTAGATTCTTCCTTCATTTTTCTTCAAAATAGTATGTAATTTTTTTTTCTACCCCCTCAAAAAGAAGTAGCCTTTCACAAAAAAATGAGATGCCAGTGCACCACTGTGGTAGACACATCATGAAAAAGTGAGTCTGAAACTCAATATGGTTTATAACTGTGGATCTTATTTTTGGAAACTTGTCTTGCAACTTAACAATGTTTAAAGTCCAGTCATTAGAATAATGGCAAGACTATGTTTTATAAAGGCAAGTAACAGTCCAATGAGGGGAAAAAATTATTCTTTGAGTATTACGTTCCACAGACAACTAGTTGTTTCATTAAAAACCCACAAATACACAATTTCCTATTTTATGGGAAGATGTTAACACAGGCATTCTGGTACCTAGGAGAGAGTAACTCCACTTCTGATCCAAACAACTGTCATAGTTCACCTTCTTCAAAGAGTACATACAATGAATAGTTATTTGTTAATGGACACTTTTGGTTATAGTTTGAAGAACCTTGGCTGCTTTTACAAAGGTATCAGAGTCTATCAAAGTATGAACTGATCTGAGAGAGAAAATTTTAGAAAGCTCCACTATATTTTATCTGTGCTGCAGAATAAAAATTAAGAAAAATTAAAGGCAATGGAAGCTATGTAAAAACTTTGTTTCTTTTTTAACTAGTCAACTAGTAGAGCCTCTAGACCTACAGCTTGGTTTTCT